GCTCGTCGAGGTCAAAGTCGTCTGACATGGACACGCCGTTTCAATCGCCTCCTCACTAAGCCCACGCGTATATCCTCACAACAACAATCACCTTGCCGCGGCGCAGCCTTCCGCATACACCGTTCCCCCCTGCCACATGCCCTCGACACCACAGAGCAATCAGCATGGCAGATGATACACGGGCTGGAGAGAGCAGCAGCACTTCATTGCTGCTCTCCAGCACATCATCACCGCAGCACAGCGTCGATGCGGAGCTGAATGCTGCTCGTACGCTTTCACTCCACCCATTCACGCCCGCCAAGTACGATGAATCTCTTCTTGACACCACGACCACGATGCTTGACGACAAGGCTGCCAGCTTGCGTCTTGCCGAGGCCAACTCTCTGAACGCAGCAACTTCCCACGGCGCACTGTCTAATACGGTCGATGAAGACTCTTCGCTCTCGGAGCCGCCTTCAGACTCCGACGAGGAGGAGGAGGAGGAGGAGACGGGTAGCGCAGATGGGGAATTCTCTTCCTGCGAGGCATCAGATCAGCCGTCAAGCTCAGCTTGCCGCGCAGAAGAGGAGGAGGAAAAGACGCCCTCTCGGACGCGATCGCCTCAGAGGAGGATGTCGACCAGATTGAGAGAACGCAAGCTGCTGAGGCGAGACAGTCTGGATCTGGCTCGCAGAAGAAGCGTAGGACCTGGCCATCTGCGCGACGTTACGCCGGTCAGACCTGCTGCCCACATGTACGCGACCAGCAGCACAGAGAGCCTGCCAAGCACGCTGAACGGAGAGAGATCGGAGGCCAGCCCCGCGGACTCGGCAGATGCACTGGAGAGGGATCCGCTTGAGGATGCGGCATCGAGTAGCGCTGCTGTTGCGGATGACTGTTCCCCTTCGGCGACAGAAGCAGAGCAGCAGCCTGACCAGCACCCGACGGCTCTTTCGGAGAGCGAGACGACCGCATCTCTTGGCGATGCCTCAGCGACCGAATCCCCGCCTCTTGATCCCGCACCGCAGCTCGATCTCGCCTTCAGGTCAGCGGAGGCGGCATTCGATGCTGACGTCACATCCGATCTGACTTATCGCATGATTGCAGCAGCAGATGACAGCTCATTGAGCCCCACACGCGCGGAAGCTGGCCTCAAGAGCTCTGACCTTCTTGAGCTGCCCGCAGCGTTTGAAGCGATGCGCTTGGCCCTGCAGCGTGACAATCAAGCTGATCTAGATGGTCAAGCGACGCAGCTTCGGCAGGGAGACCTCACATTCGATGCAGGCGCTTTCCTGAACCTAGATGCAAGCGTTGTGCTTCCTGGCGACAGCGAGGCAGCGTCTGGGCCGCAGGGCGCTACTCAGCTCGACCAAACGCGCGTGGAGCCCGGGCTCAGAAGAGTGCCCTGCACGCTGGAAGCTCTCGCTGACGCATCCGGCTCGTTCAGTTTCGGAAGCCCAGGACTTGCGCGCGCTGCTGTCGATCCCAACAGCGACAACAGCTTGCTCAACGGCCTGAGAGCCGAGGTGGACCAGGATACATCTGAAAGCCCTTTTGCGCTCACGAGAGCGCTGGCGCTAGAACAACAGGGCACGGACGACCTAAATCCGCGCCGTGGCAGCCCTTGGGAGCGCAGAGACAGAGCGGAGCGACTCGTCATGCCGCACGGAGGGAGTCCCTTGAAGCAGACTAGGCTTGCAAGCTCTCCACAAGAAGCGCGTGCATCGAAGCCAAAGGTGGACACTGCGACCGGACATGCGCAAGGCCTGCCATCAGAACAACGGTCTCCCAACAAGACCGCTGTCCCCAAAGCCATCAGCGTCGCCGACGCCCTCAGCATGTGGGCAGACGCCACGACTTCGAGCCCTACAAAGGTTCAGCAAGCCGCTGCTCTGCCTTCTCCGTGGGTCCTGGGCGATGGTAGTCCCAGGAAGCCGCTCAAAGTCTTGCAACGAGCACGCGAAATGAGTGGTAGCAGGGACAGTCCATCCAAGCAAGACGATAGGAGCCGCGGCGCAGAAGCGGTCGCTCCCGATGATCTGGACGCGCAGCCGCAACGTTCGTCTGACCAGCCTGATGCCTCTGTGACTTCTGTGCCCGTGCCTCCAGCCAAGGAAGCGATTCTCCTGCCCAGGATGGGCACTCAGCGCTCTCTGAGGGGCGTTCCCCAACCCAAAGGTGTCGTCACGCGTCTCAATGGACCGTCTGCCAGACTGCAACAAGAAAGGCGCGCAGCTAGTAGTGGTGAGAGACAGGGATTGCAGAACGAGACAGGAAAAGGTGCAATGGGAATTACAGTGGATCAAGCGACTTCGAGGCCCGCTGTTGGACTCGCCGCGAGCGTGAAAGGAGTCGCCGGAGTTACCTCTCGAGCCGGTGCATCTTCTAGATTGCCCAAACCAGCCTCGTTGGCCGCTTCGCAGGGACCCTCAAAAAGCCAGTCTTCTGCGATCCCTCAGCCAAGACCAAAGGGGATTGCACTCGAGAACGCTTCTGATGGGAAGGGGCTCTCCCTTGCAAAACGGCCGGCCGAACGTCTGAATCCCGCTCGGCCGCTTGCCGCTGAGACAAAGCTCAAGAGTGCGAGACCAATTACTGGCGTTCCAAAATCAACCTCCAAAGCTCCTAGCACTTCATCTCAGAGGCCTTCACGAATCGCGGAGAGCAAGATGCGAGCGACGACTGCCGGGTCGGAGCTGCTCAAAGCAGACGACCCAACCGGATGTACGAAGGCTGGCCCGATTCGCTCAGAGTCGGTAGCCAGCAACAACAGCAGTCGAAGCGACTCAAGGGTCGGCACGACGAAGCCGGAGAGCAGAGCCGAAGCAAAAGTCTCGTCGAGTGCCACACTAGCTAGCAGTGTCGCAAGTCGTCTTGTCAGACCCGTAGCGCGCGCAGCGAAGGGAGTGCCAGTGCCTTCGAGCTCCCCGATCCGTAGCTCGCAAGCACCCAGAACAGTCCTGGGCTCACGCACTGCTGCAATTGCAAGCTCGTCACCCCTTCGTGCCACAGTCACACGCGCTGGTAGCAGAACTCCAATAATCCGAGATGCAAGGCTTGCGAGAGGGCCTGCGTCGCTGAAGCAAGCAGAGGCACCACCTACTGAAGCGACTGCCAGCACGGTCGAAGACGTGAGCCGGCCAAAGATAGCTTCGCCTCTGGCAGCTAGAACCGGACCTGTCGTGATTAGAGACGCACGTTTAGCTCCTTCGGTCGTCCGACGCGACGAGCCTGCTTACGCAGAATCGACCCCTCCTGATGCTGCCTCATCACCAGAGCGCGGCACCACAACCACATCGAGCGTTGGCCCGACCGAGCCCGCGGGGCTGCTCACTTCTACAGCGCAAGGGCGAGCAAGGAGAGTACCGGCCGGCTCTACGGAAGCCACTCGAGCGCCCGCGAGCGTCCCGACGACTGCGCCCGCTCTGTCACACGCAATACAGGTCGTTTCCTCCCCTGTTCCCACACCTGCTCCGGCTTCGCCCAGTAGGAGTGCGCCAGCTCCTGGTGCTGCTCGCTTCGGCTTTCAAGGGCTCGCGAGTCCCACACGTCGTTCCTCTGTCCGTTCAGCGACGGACGAGGAAGGAGTGGGTTACGTCGACGCGCTCACCGCAACCCGTCAGGGTCGCACACCGTTTGGGCCTGCACAAGCAACGGCCACAGACGATGCTTTCGGTCTTTATCGCCCAGACTTTGCGAACATGTCGCCCATGAAGGCTGCCAAACGTGCTACCCTGATGGGCGATGGCGCGCCAAGCAGCGACGGCATCATTGGTAGCAGTGATACTGGAAAGTCGCTGCGACCCAGGGCTGCAAAGCATGGCAGTCAGAATCTGAGCGAGATCTCGAAGCACTCATTGGGCGTATCAAGTGCAGCGACTTCTGCGCTCAGTACCAAGGCCTTCATGGCAAGCGATTCCTGGCCAAGTGTCCCGCTCTCGAATGCCGAGATGCTTGCCTTGACCAAGCACAATACGCGCCGAAACGAGAAGTACCTGACGAAGCTGGACATTGTGCCAATTCGAATGGAAGGCCCCCGACCGCCAAGCCCTTCAGCCAAGATCCGCAAGACTCCTGGCGCTGATAAGCTGGACAAAGCAGAGGCTGATGAAGCTAGAGAAAGGCGAGCGCGCAAGAGGACGAGCGATGGGGCCGATGACGGGCAAGCCAAGCAAGATGCTTCGGCGGCGCTTGAAAAGCACGTACAAGGTGCAGGAGACGAGGAGAGTTTCCATACCCCGACTCGACCACAATTCATCACGCATGGACCGCAGAAGAAGGTCGTCAAGTGGCACAAGTCCTTGTTCGTTGGACCCAGCGAGGCTCCAGCTCAGAGAATTGCGGAGGCCGAGCAGCGTCCAGCTGCTGGGACTCGGAGGGAATGCAAATCTCGCTCGTCTCTGTCGGCCAAGGTGAGTCCAGCTTCCCATGTGCAGAAACATCCTTGGAATCGCGTTGCTGAACGCATGGTCCTGCCCTTTGCCTTCGCGGGCGTCGCTTTCAGTCTTACACTCTCGACGACAACGGTAACGTGGCTGAAACTGAGGCCCCGATCTCTCCTCGTCTGCGAAAGACGCGAGTCAAAATCCTCAAGCTCATCTTTGACGACGATCTCTGAAGAGCGCAGCCAAACATTCAAGCAGCACAAGTCTCCCGCGGTAGCATACACGCTGCCACACTCGACATCGATACCTTGATCAGCTCCAGTCAAAGTCGGTCTACTCAATTTCAATCACGTGAATCTTGACTTTCCAGTGTTTGCTTGATCACATTGGTCACGTGACACCCCTCTCTCTCGTTGAGGAGCTACACATTTGAATTCCAAGATTTTGATTAAAGACTCATCAAACTTGTAAACTTTCTCTCTATGTCAATTCCAGGGAGTGCAACCTAGCGAGACAGATGAGCGAACATCGACGGCGGATGATGAGGTATGCAGACCGAAAGGCAGTGATTGATACAGGCGCTCGATCTTGTGAGTCGGGTTCGTGCATTGTCCGGAAGCGCCAAGCTAAGTTCAAGGCCGGTCACTCTCCACGCTCAAGCTGCGGAGTCGAGGGGAGTCCGAGTTCTGCGCGCTGGGAATCTGGAAGAGCTGTGCGAGTAGCAGCGACTTGCGCAGAGGTCACTGCCTTGGCCAAGAGGGGCTGCTTCTCTCCGCTCGATCCGCTGGAAGCGCGCTCCGCCTTGCTCTTACTCTTGTACGTCTTCTGGTAGAAGCGAATAAAGAGGAATAGGTAGCTGGTCAGGATGACGAGACCTGACGAGGCTGCTTGAGGCGAAGAGGCGCAGTCGGACAAGCCAGGTATTCCGAGGTTGAAGTATCGGTTAAAGTGGTTGGCGGAAGCCGTGTAGATGGCGGCGAGGTCTATGACGAATTGGACGATCTGCATGGTGGTAATGTATCGCTTGAAGGGGCAAGGGATGCGCAGCGTTGCCATTGCGTAGTAGGCGTACATGATGAGGTGGACGAAGAGGTTGAGCGTGATCACCACCCAAGATACGCTGGATTTGCCCACCAATTGCGAGAAGCAGAGCAGAGCGGTAGCGAAGTGGTGGTACACGTGCAGGAAAGGCATGGGCTTTCCCTTGAGCATCATGAAGCAAGTGTCGATCAGCTCAATATACTTGAACATGTAGTTGATGATGTACAGCGTCTCCATTCTCGGCGACCAGCTCTCGGCAAAGCACATGGCGCCATAGAGCCCGTTCTTGTACCAGAAGGGAACGATTTCTTCCAGGTAAGCGGCAAAGAGCAGTCCCGAGGAAAGGCTGAGGGCGATGTTGTGAAATACGAAGGGCCATTTGAGCGAGAAGACTGGAAGGATCTTGCGCTTTTGGAGTGCTCTTCCGCTATGAATGAGGGCCAAATAGCCGAAAAGGGTAGCTGCCACGGGAATTGGGGTGCTCCATGGCGTGACTCCAGGTGTCCAACGGACGAGTGCCTCGTTTTCCTGATGAGTGTCGAGAAGCGAGCGTCAGCAACATGCAGGCTGAGCAGTGAGCAACCTGTCCAAGAAGGGTTGCGAAACTTACCCCGATGAAGCTTGGGAAGATGGCGGGGATCGCCTTGGCGCCAAGATCCCACACAGGGGTGTACGTCATGGTGATCCAAGACGGGAATGAAGTTGCAGTATTGACCACAAGAGGGTGAGGTCAAGCAAAGGGAGATGCGCGTCACGAGCGCTTGTGCACGAGAATTGGGAGAAGAGGAGCGCAAAAAGACAGTGGCGCCGAGGGGGACGTAGATGAGTGAGTGTTGCGTGCTGGAAATGTTTTGACAATCTCCACGGAGGTGTGGTGGACGAGCAGAGCGAATGTTTGAGCTTGGGCTGGGAAAGAGGACGTTGAACAAGAGAAGCGCCGGGGGCAGGGGATTCGAGCGCTTTATGTACTTTTTACAGATGACCTCGGATGTTTATTGCTTGCACGAGCAATTCGGGGTTGCTTTCGCCTTCACAAAGGTGCGGCTCAGCTGCATGGACATGACGGCAGCATCGGGCCGGCAAAGCTAGGCACGCCGTCACTCGTTGTCAAAGCCACAATCAGGAATCGAGCGAACGACGTGCTGCTGGGTCGGAGCTCGAGCTGCGACGTTAGACGACGTTCACAAGGAGCTAGCGCTACATTAGCAAAGAATTCCGTCGCTACTGGCAGATCCTACCATGAGGTCACCCGAGCTTGCCGCGAACCTTTCGGTCATGGAACAGCGGCGTCCGCGGGTGTGGAGAGGGAGAGGCAAAGAGAAAAGGCAGCACGCATGCACTTCCAAGCACAAGGTAGGCGCAATGCTACCCGTCAAGCAGCAGGAACATGCAAGCCCTGCAGCGACATGCAGCGTAGTGCATGCGGTTTCAAACGCATCAGCAGCTACCGCTGCAGCTAAGCGCCAGCGGAGTGACGCGCGGATTGCCATCACACCCATGCAATTGCAAAGGCACAACGATGCGCCCGCCAGACGACTCTGTTGTGCTGCATGGCTGGCCCTCAGAACGTTGCGCTGCGTTGTCTGAGGCGCGTCCCGGCAGCTCGATTATTACGGCGACTTGAGGACTGCACGAGGAGAGAGCGAGCACCTCCGCTTTCCGGACAGCGCTCTTTCCCATTATCGTCTCCTCGATGCTTCAAACTCGCAGAGCAGCACCCCACCCCATTCTACCGCCGCCTCGATGGGCGCGTGAGCTAGACAGCGAGCAATGCGCAAAGTCGAAGTGGCCACGCAATTTCAATGCCAAGCCAGCAGCGGTTTCAATTCCTGCAAGCAGCCCAGTTGCATTCGTGATTATTTGTCGAGGAGTTTTCCGCATCGGGGAATTAGACCAGCCACTCGCGACTGCCGACTGCTATAGGTCCAGTCTCGCGCCCTGGAACGCGCCCGTGTTGGTATTAGTAGTAGTATGAGTACTAGTAGAGTAGTAGTAGTATCATCGTTCGTGATTGGTGGGCCAGGAAACCGCGGGGGATTGGAGCAGGTACTGCGCGCTGTCTGAGTGCGGCCAAGACCTCATCAATTTGTGAGACAGGCAGGATGGTCGAGAGTCAATTGACTCGCATGAATGCCCGCGGCTTGCATGTTGATCGCTCCAGTCAAAAGCTCCTCC